TGTTGTGTGCAAGCTGGACAAAAGGCAACAGTTCTGACCAATTATCACAAGCCAGGTTGCTATACATGGCAAGCATATTGTGGACAATGCTGTGGATACGTTCGAGAACATAATTCCCTTGCGGACGGTACGCGGCCGTGCGGGTTTTCTTGTACCCAAAGACAGTTTGCAATTCTTTCACGAGTTGGTTTTCGAATTATCTTCCTTGATCAGAATGCAAAGTTTCCGGCGGACCAAACACCGAAAAGACACGGTCAATGAGATGACGGACCACTACGGTAGCCTCCTTGGACGGAATGGATATGAGAATGAGGAAGCGTGTGAGATGGTCGATGACAGACAAGATAAATCGGTTACCCTCCGACTATGATTTGTATTCGACAAGATCAACAGCCACAACCTGGAAAGGGTTGGTGACCGGTCGGTGCCCTATGGGCAGGGTGGGTGGCCGATGCGACGTTTTGCGGTGTTGACAAGAGAGACAGCTTTCGACGTGGTCTTTGATGTCTTTGTGCATTGTAGGCCACCAATAACGATGGCGGACTTTGTCGAAAGTACCTTTAAAGGCTAGATGGCCACCCGACGCCGGGAGGTCATGACATACATTAATGACAAGTTTCCGCAAAGAGTCGGGCACTACCAGTCGGTCACGAAAAGTGCCTCGTCTACGCAAGTGGACAGGGACATAAGAGCGGAAGAGTAAACCTTCGTGGATGAAAAATTTACTCATGCTGGACTTAGACTGGTGGAGTGGTACCCGAGCCTTGGTGGGGCTCTCCAAGTAATCGAAATACTGGTGGAACTCTTTCTTTTGATGATCGAGCAACTTGGCAGTATCGACAACAGGGAAAACAGACATAGCGCTAGAGAACAACTCACGGTCGCTTTCGACGGGGACAATGTCGTCTAAATTGCTAGCGGACACTTCGTATTCACGAGGGACAGGAGGGCAGAATGGTTGGTCATCGGGGACATTGCGACAGATAGCGGCGAGCCGAGGCTCGGACGGAAGAGGTTTGCCGTCGATTTCGCTGAAAATGCGGGACAGGGTGTCCGGGACTACGTTAAGTTTCCCCGGAACGTGCTTGACGGTGAAATCGAAATTTTGCAGACAGATGGCCCAACGAGTAAGCATATTAGACGTATCTTGCATATGATACAGGTACGTCAGCGCTTGGTGGTCGGTGTGACAAGTGAAATGCCGGCCCCAAAGGTATGGGCGCCAGTGGGTCAGGGCCCAGACAACCGCCGTACACTCCTTCATAGTGGGACTATAGTGACGTTGGCCTGCTTTAAAGCGTTTGCTGTAGTAGGCGACAATATCTACCGACTTGTCGTCGGTGCTATCTTTGGACGGTTGGGCTAGGAAGGCACCTACACGAAGCTCAGAAGGTCAGTGTGCACGACAAATTCTCTCGAAAAATCGGGAAAGTGGTGCACGACAAATTCTCCCGAAAAATCGGGAAAGTGGAGGACAGGGGCGGAAGACAAGGCAACTTTGAGTTGTTGGAAGGCGGCATCTTGGTCCAGCCCCCAAGCTTCTCGAAATTTGCGGGGTTTGACGAAATCCTTGCGAGTCAGATCAACTAGCGGTGCAGTGGGGTCAGCGTAATTTTTGACAAAGCGACGGACAAAACTTGCCACGCCGAGGATGGAACGGAGGTCCTTGATACATTTCGGCGTGGACAAGTCGCGGATGGCATCAATGCGGTCGGTACTGACGGAAATACCTTTCGCAGAAATGACATGACCAAGATAATCGACTTCTTTACGACCAAATTGGATTTTGGACGGCTTGAGAGACAGACCTGCTGCCTGCAATGCTGCGAACATTTTCTTGATGGAGACAAGATGGGTCTCAAATGTGCGATTGATACAGATCAGATCGTCCATGTGCGAGAGGACACCGGAGTCGGGACCAAGGTGGCCCAGAGCAATAGACATTACGTGTTGAAACAGCCATGACGCATTCGCTACCCCGAACGGCATACGCTTGAAACAGTACTTGCCGTTATCAGTCACGAAGGCGATCCGGTCGCATCAGCCACAGGAATCTGCCAGAACGCGCTGAGGATGTCCGCCACAGTGATGTAGAGGGCGTCCCCGACGGCATCCAGGCACGACTCAAGGTTGGGCATAGGCCAAGTCTTGCGAATGATGTTGCGGTTGAGGGTGTGGCGGTAATCAACACAGAAACGAGGGCTGCCGTTGCTTTTGGCGACAATGGTACAAGGGCTGCCCCATGGACTGGGCCGTTTCTCGATAATACCCCATTCTAGCATATCTTCAACACATTTATCGACGACAGCTGAGGTATGGGGGTTGGGGCGATACGGCGGACGGTCGACGGGGCGGGTGCCAGGTGGCACGGGGAACGTTGCCTCGGCGATCGTACAACGACCGAGTTCGGACATGGACAGAGAGAAAACGGGACGATATTTCGCGCACAAGTCTAAGACAGATTCCTTTTGTTCAGAGGTGAACGTGGATCCGGAAAAGGCTTTGGACAAAGCACCTTCAAGATCAGACCTAGCGCGGCGGACTTCCTCGTCGGTGACGGGGGTGTTCGCGACAGCATTGACACTTAGTTCATCAGGGGTGACTACAGAGACAGTAGACAAATGGCCAAGACATAATTTCTGGGGGAGTGACACTCCATCAGGGGAGGGGTTGGCGAGTTGGACAGCGACAGAGTCATCAGAGGCATGCCAAGTGGCAAGGGTACGAGCGAAAATAATATTTTTGAAGGGCTCGAGTGTGCCGTCTGCAGCTAAATCCGCTTCGGTGACAATGCGGGGTTCTACCACGACGGTACAATCTTCGGGTGGCAGACAATTGGTGAAGACAACAGCAAGACCTTCCTATTTGGGTTTGAAGACGACCTTTTCACACAAAATGACAGGAATAGCATCAGTATCGCTATGTACAGCGGCCACGGACAGGTTTCCGTCGCGGGACGAGGGAGACGGGTTGGTGCTATTCGAAGAGACAAAATCGCGGATGCGATGAACAGCTGGTATGGTTGAACCAGAGGACGAAAAAAGTAAGGTTTCGTTTTCCCAATCTAGGAGTGCTCCACAATCAGACATGACACTGTTGTCAAGGAGCATGAGGTCAGGACCCAGAGAGGGGACAACAAGAGCGGTCACCGTACGGGTGATTTCGCTGAGGGTGAGATGGAAATCGATAAATCCTAGGACATTGATCGGTTCGCCGTTTGCGGCACGAAGCGCTACATCGAACGGAGGGACAGGTTTTAAAGGAACAGACTGCAAGGTGGGATGAGACCGCAACCAAGCAAGCGACACGACGGGCACGTCGGTAGCTGTGTCCACCGTGACATCATTCACGGGAACGTCGTCGACGGAGCCGGCGATGCGGACTCGTCGAGACGAAAAAGACAGAGAAAAGTCGATGGTTTTGTGCTCCAGCATTGAGCTGTACCACACTTGATCATTCGAATGATATTTGACAGAGGACAACTTCCTCCTCCACTTCCGTATCCCGCGTCTACCACGCCCACGCGGGTGCACACACCCTGAACTGCTACGCGAAGACACACTGTCACGCGCACACGGGGACTCGGACACAGACTGAGCAGACTTGACATTCTCACGTGACTCAGCAACACTAGGACAGGACGTTGTTAAAGCCGGACACGGAGGCTCGGCGCAAGCCGAGGGGGCATTATTGCTACTCAGATTCCGCTTCCGGGAGGGAGGACGGGGACACACAGGCTCAACACCATCGTCATCAGCCTGCAAGGAAGGGACACGAAGATCAGACACGCTAGAGAGGCCGTACAACGCACGCTCCGTACCGTGAGGACGGGCGCGGACTCTAGGCACTACATAGTTACCATGACGGACAGGGACA